TCGGAATTGGTGAAAGCCTAATGTGATAGCAATGGTGCAGAATAATATCCTACAGCTAATGGAATTCACCGCAAGTCTGTCGTTATCATCTGTATGATCGTAGCATTGTATCTTTCTTAATATCTTGTCTATGCGTAGCGCGTATTTTCCGTGTCCAAGTGACTGTGTATAACCTGGGGTTGTTGCGTAAAAATGCGATCATAATGACTTCATGACTTGGTATGTACAGTATGTGATTAAGGGAAACTTCAATATCTCACCGTACACCCGTGTCACGAGTAGCTAGCTCTTCATGTGCATGATGGAAGACGAGATCGACCTGTAATGCAGATGGTCAAGTCTGAAGTGCACAAAAACCTTTTGCTGTGTTATGGACGGGGATGCCAAAACACGTAAGTACAATGTCATGTCTATAGCTATAAACGGCGAAGATGATCGTTTACGTGGTCGAGAAAGTCCAAGATAGAGCATTGAACATATTGTTGGCGTGTTGTGAAGTTAATAGATTGCAGTTCCCCACCTGTGCCAAGTATCTGAGTGTGCTTGAAGTTCCAGCCAACTCTCTTTGTCGCATTTAATCTCGTCATATACTCCCTTACCAAGGGCTCTCGGGGTTAATTTGCCTCGCTCGAGAAAGTGCCATTAACTTTTACCGTGAGAAGCTTAGAAATTAGAAACAAGGAGGACAGGGCAAAGGATGTACACCCCATCATAAAATGAGGCTTCCATTTCCCTGGCTCAAGGATCGTCATGGCTCGTGGTACTCAGGTACTGGCTTTTCTACGGCTCAACTGGTTTCCCTAATGTTCTTTAACGAGACAGATGAAGCTGGTGAACTCACCGGGGAAGGGAAGAAATCGTGGAAGGAACGTCCATATCATGTCGCATGGCTCATGTCCGAATCACGAGCAAAGACACAGAAACAGAAGCAGAAGCAGAGGTGATGTTTTTTTTTTTATGTTCACCGGGGATGAGAAATCAAGAGAATCGGACCCGTCAACCGGGACCGGGGCCGGTGGGTCTATACGAGCTCGTACCTCACGTGCGACTGGGACTGGGGGGAGAGGACCGCGTGCTACTCTCGAGTCACCTCGCGCCCCTCGTTCCGTCTCGTCTCATCCTCCCATACCAGCTACTCCCGAGAAACTTCGTCCCACTCGAGAGAGGGACTGACTGACCAGTACTGAGAGAAGCTTCGAGGGAAAAATCAATGGATGAGCCAACTTTCACATTCCGATCCTGGCTGCTCATCATGAGAGTTTTTCAAGCATCTCTCTCGCTCTCTCTCTCTCTCTCTCTCGCGCGCGCTCTCACGTGCTTGCTCACTCGCTTGTATGTCCCATACAAGCGAGTGATTTTATGATTCCGGAAATTCCCTTCTATCGAAAGGGGAGAGGGTCAGGAGTGGCTGTCCCGAGCGATCACTTGAAGTAGCAATAAATGCATTCGATCTCTATTGAGATACTGCAATTCGGGCACTTTAAAAAACGGAGTGAAAGCTGGCAGTGGGTGTTAGGCTGTCTGTTTTCGTTGCCCGACTTGATCTCTCCTCGAATACACGCCACGCCGATTCTACTTCCGCTTATGTGCTTCTCTCGCCCTTTCTTCCTCACAAGTGACATAAGGCTTCTTTTGTTGTTATGACGCGTAATGTGTTACGCTGTACTTCCTCTTTCTCTTAGTTCATTCTTCTTGCTGTTGTGTTCCCATACCTCATAGGGATGGGGCCTCGGTCATACGAGATTTTTACATGCCCCTAGTGTTCCTGTTTCTCATACCTGATCTTCCTTCACAGAGGGCGTCGAACCCGAACTGATGTCGAGACTTGAATGATGGTGCTACCGTCACAACGTATTTTCAATGACGAAGCGGGTTTTCAATTCCTCTGGAATTCCCGAACGTGATAAAATCTTGACTGTATTTATTGATTCCCTAACATTCCTCTGATAGTAAGTGAACTCAATCTATTAGTTTCTTCACCTTGAGTTCTAAGCTGTGGACATGATATGGACATTAGAAGGAGGTTGGCTCCGTAATCACGTCTCAATGCCATGCCAATGAACGCAGATGATTCCCTCATCTAACTCGTATACTTTCTACTAATGATGGTCTCTGACATAACTGCGGCCAATCGAAGCAAGGGGTTATTTTCCCCGTGACGCAATCGGGCAAGAGAGAGGGAGAGAAGCTTGCGATCCGAAGTGAAAAGTACGTATTGGGACAGCAGAAGCCTTGTCATCCTGTTAATATGAGATAAGGAAACATACCCCATTCACTTCGAGGTGGGAAAAAAAAATACTAGGACTAAAGAAAGGTTGAATGGCGGGGTATACGACTATCCTCCGCAGCTCCACCCTTGTTGCCCGCCAGGAAAGAGTTCAGGTCGTGTTCGACAGTTTTTTCGACAGACGGTTTTGTTTTCTCCACTCGGCACTAGGGTCTCTCCCCTTGCTTCACTTCCTTTCTTCTTTCTCTTGCTTGGGATGATGCGATGATCATGGAAGACCCCTTGCAGTGTTCGAGCCATTCTCAGTCACGAACTTGGAACGAGATGAGAGGAGACCCTTTCTATTCCCTTATCTCTTGCACATTTCCAGTTGCCTTTGTTTCGGCACTGCCCAGTGCTCACCCCGAGCATTAACGGGATTTGGCATTTCGTCAATTCAGACTCCTAGTAGCTTTTGTACCTCTATTGCCGCCAAAATACAGGAAGTCCAAATTCTGGAGTTCCTTTAGATTTTGGACTTGTAGAGCAGTGATTTCCAACCGCTGGTACGCGTTCCAGCTCTTTTTTTTGTCATTTGTACGCATGGCATTTAAAATGTCAAATTTAAATAAATAAGAACTTGGTGGCCAAGAAGACCTTCCATGGATTGTTCTCAACTTCATTACCTAGTTGTTAGATTTATTCATTCATAAATCAACATGCATGAATTTTGATTACTTTTGCTGGTACGACGGAGGTCATGCTCTAGTAATCTGGGACAGTTTGCTGAAAAGACCGAAAACCGCTGTTCTGGAAGTGTCGGCGATGAGCGCTTTCATAGGATGCAAGCTGAGAGAAGTGAAGGATACGATGGGGTCCCTCTGGAGCAGCGTTGCACAATGTCGGTGGAAGGGTGAAGTCGAGGTCCCGACTTCGGACGAGTAATTAAGGTGTAATGGATCCTTTCGTGGATGCCTGTATGTCATAGACGGTGACCTCCGTGACGCCGTCCCTAGACCCCCACGAGCCTCAAGGCTTGAACTGGGCTCTAGGGCTAGACCTATGGGTGGAGAAAGTCCCTTCTGATCCTGGCCCCAAACCCGAGCCCTTGCCGGAGACACCGACCCTTAAGACTCATTCAAAATATGAGAAGAAACAAAAGTAAAGTGTATAATTTTAACGGACTGATTATTCGAAATATTGCAAGTATTGAGACGTATTCAAAGTCAAGGAGCCCGACCCAGGGCGTAGGGGCCTTTTCTATTGGCTTTGTTTAGTCTGAAGTCGGCGTGCCATGAAACTAGGACAGAAAGGTGAGAAGGCACCCAATAGTAACCCTATGGCGGCTACGCACTGATATATCAGTAGGTGCTGTCCCATGCCTCGCAGGTTACGTACTGATGTATCAGTTTTTGCACTTAAATGTGAGACGGTTACCGTCTAATATATCAATGGTTATGAAAAACAATTGTGGCATGTCCTGACATCTGTTTGACATGTTTTAGCTTAAACTTTCATGTTATTCTGCCTTGATACATTCTTTTACCCTATAAAAGAAAAACTTCAATTATCAGAACTCCAGTGAACACGAGGGGGCTGAGTTTGAATCCCAACCTATACCCAAGACAACAATTTAATCCTACCACATCAACCGCCCAAAAATTGGGTAAACGTGGATAAATAATCCTAGAAAAATTACTTAAATCTAAATTCTAGTGGTTTACAAAATGTGCTAAAACATAAATCGATCCGAGCACTGCCAGTAGTACCCTACTGGCAGTGCTCGGATCGATCTAGAAATATTCAGCCTCAAAAGGGATAAGAACCATATTTGTATCTCTCCGGCGTATGTGGGATGGGTGCGTATTTAAGTATGTATGACCTGCTGTACTGTGTTGTATACTGCCTGGATCTTGGAATGGCGTGAGCAGGAAGCGGGAGAACGAATGGGTGGGGGAGCAAGAGGGAGTGAGAGTGTATGCACGTGTGCAGTCGTGTCTGTATGTATGTTTGGGTGGCTTGTACATCGCAGAGAAGAGCAGTAACACTTTCTCTTCATTTCTTTGGTAGATCCTTGTTGGTCTCTCTTCAAGCAGGAGGGAGAATCGCTTCCCAGAGGCCCCCACTCCCTACTTGACATTTTAACCCTTCCGCTCCCTTTGCCGCGCCGTCTGAGGATTTCAGGCTTCCGAATAAAGAGATGAGGAGAGACAGAAAATGAAAGAGAGTAAGAAGGGGAAAAGGTTGCTTTGGCTTCCTCTAATGACGAGATTATCCCGAAGGGGAGTGGCAACGCTGCCACCACACAATTGATGGTGAAATTTTCCCAGTTCAGGATCCCACACGGGAGTGACATTGGTCTGGCTCTGGAATCTGGATTGAATCCAGGGATTATCTTGACTGGACTTTCACTTTCCGAAAGAGGGCCCGCCTGACCATGACACTGAATCCCGGGGCGAAGACAGTGGACCTTTACCAATGTGCCAATCAGATCGGAATGGGTGACCTTCTAAATCTGCCGTCCATGGCGTCCCCCCCCTTTTCCTTTCCTTTCGTTGACAGCACCTGGATCGGTGCATGGTGTCTGCTACGCCCAATCGAGTTAATGAATCGCTGTCATACATAACCTGTGATTTCTTATATATTGATATTTCTGTCTCCTGGGAAGAAGATTCTTCCTTACAAAAACTAGTATCCGACCTTCCCACACAAGTCAACGTAGTCATTCCCGTTTGACACTCCGCATGCCTTCAACCATCATTAATAAACTTGTTATATTCTGTTTTCATTTCAGGAAATCTACAAAGATCGGAAGAAATTCAGCAAGCACGTTTTTGAGGTTGCATCTACTGATCTGGTGAACATGGGGATAACGGTGGTTTCCTACACTCTCAAGGATATTCGAGATGAAGAGGTGAGTAATGTAAAGTATGCAAAAGGAGGTCATTAATGGTATTCCCCATGTATCAGCCTCATGCTGACATGATCATGTGAATGAGATAGCATTTGTGATTTTCTCTCTCTTGAATAGTTTACATTTTCTCTTCTCTTCTGGTTTTCTTTTTCCCAATTGCTCAAAGTTTTCAAAGGTATGTCACTCAGTTTTGTAATAAATTTCCTTTCTCCATGCATGGTCATGCATTGTAGAAAACTTGTAACTTATGCATGGGGTCCTTGTCTGTCCCACCTGCTTGTTATATCATGTTATTGTAGCTCTCATACCATTCTTAAATGGTGTCAGAACAGACGTTGGTCAATTGGCAGAAGCTTCTCATGAAAAACAAGAACATAAAATATATAAAGGGAATGATGATGGTTTCCTTGTCATCTTTAGTCTGAATTCCAGAGATTTTATGTGTAGATTTTCATCACCATAGATGAGGCAGATTCTGTGAGTATGGTTTGCCAAATGGTTCCCATGGAAGTTAGTGAATTTGTCTCAGTTGAGGAGGAGGGTGACCACTGAATCAGTCAGGTTGTATTTCTCCAATGCACTCTGGGCTAATCACAATGTAGCTGTAGTAGCACCAGATGCACTGGCAGGCTTTCCTTTCCCCATCACTCCTCTCCCTATGACTGCAGTAGAAAGAGGATTCCTTCAAAATCTTATATTCAATGAAGCAGAACTATCACAAGAACACAGCTTGCAAGCTTCAGTCGCAACTAATAGGGATGATGTGTGGAGCAGGACACTGGAATTCAGATATTGTCAGTTATGAAGATAATCTACAGTTTCTGCATTTAATGTGCAGGGTGGGTCATAGAAAATAGTTTTTTTTTTAAATGGAGGCTGTGTCTTTGCCCCAGTGAGGCAAGCTATGCAAATGATATATATTTGGAAAACCCTGGATGGGATCTTCCAGTTGAGCCTACTCTTGCTGAATGATCTCTTAGTGGACAAAGTTACATACATTTACCCGAGGTCTGAACCCTTTCTTGAAATGTCTTCAAAATAGATTTTCATGTGCATGAATTTAATGTGCTGTCATTTCTCCATCCAGCTCATTCAGATCCTCCCATCAAGCTCTCAAGCCACCAAAAGCTGATTGGAACCAATTTTGTCTGAATTTTTAACATTTTGAACACTTCTTCAATCCACTATTTGATGTTGTGCTTGTGATGATTGTCATGGAAACCAGATTTGTGTGTGGTGCCAGAAGGCTATTTTGCTGACAGGGCTGATGTTGAAGCTGGATAAACAAATGTGTTTGATTGCACATTACCATGGATGATAAAACTTAATTTCTTTCATGAAATTTACACATTTCAAAAAGGAAAATTTCAGCTAGTGAAACTATTTTGCACCAAACTTCTGCACACACTCAGTTCTGTTTTTCTTGCTCATCCAGAACTTGCATGGCAGATCACCATATCCAAGCCATATGCCATTACCGACAATCTTGTTGAGTCAGTGGATTTTGTGACTTGCATGCTCTTGTCATGCAAATACACCAAAAATGACTCATCAATTTGATCAATGGCAGGACTGGGAATGTTTCATAAAAGCATATTCTAGTAGAAATCACAGTTGAAGTTGGTGTTGAAGTTGCTGATGAAACATCATTAAAAAATAATATAAACATTGAGTCAAAGAAGCAATCAAGTTTTTGTCAAACAATCAAGCAAAGTTTTTGATTCTGACAAAATTGTTTCCAATCAGTTTTTGGTGGCTTGAGAGATTGATGGGAGGACATGAGTTGGATGGAGCATTGACTGAGCATTAAATTCATGCACATGAAAATCTATTTTGAAGACTTTTTCAAGAAAGGGTTTAGACCTCGGGTAAATGTATGTAACTTCATCCAGATGAGAGATTTTTTTTAAAGCAAAATTAGGCTCATTCAAAGGATTTCATCCAGGGTTTCCAACTAAGTATAATTTCCATTGTTTGTTTCACTGGGGGCATAGAGAGAGCTTATAATAAATAAAAAACAGTTCACTATGAACCACTTTGTATTCAGCATATAGCAAGAGCCATTCTGTGTTCTAAGTGAGACTGGCATTGGGAGGGCCTTGTCATTCCTTAGGGTCTGAAATATATTTTTTCAAATGTGTATAACAGTTTTCTGAGCTGAGCAAATCAAATGGACACTCTTTGGTAAAATGAATGAAGAATGAGTCATGTTACTCCTGTCTTGGTGGCATTGTAATCTACTTATAACCATAGGTCAAGTTCTGAAGCCTTGTGTACAGTGGCATAGGCAGGAAATCGGCAAGGGGGGGGGGTTGAGGCCAGGTAGACACCCCAACCCTATGCTTAACTCCACTACCTGGAATTTACCTTTTCAAAGAAATCATGGTCTGGCATCTTGGGTGTGGACAGACCTCAGACTTTCCTCAAAGGGGCATAGCTAAAATTGGAATTCCCAAGGAAGATTGAAATATGCCTGTCAGTGTCACTGACCGAGAAGCCCAGGGGGGTGGGGGGGTTCTAACCCACTAAACCCCCCCCTTCCCTATGCCACTGCTTGTGTAGATGGTAGACTGACTAAGGCACAAATGGTAATGGCATTCATCAGATAAGTGCCACTTCACATAATGATGAATGGAAGCTAGGCAAGGGAAACTCCATTTGCCCATTATGAGACATTAATGTAATTTTGTTCAATATATGATATGATTTCATCATGTAGTAACTGGCAAACATGAGATTCCAAATGGAACATTTCCTGTCCTCCATCACCATCACCAGGGCAGCAGCTGACTCCATCTTCACCAGCATTATAATGAATAAGGAAAACAACATGAATTCCTCCCCTTCCACTCAATCTTGTTCCTTTGCTTCTTGTTTCCTGTTTGAAGGTAATACAAATCTGAGCTTTCAATCAATTCAATTGACTATTTGCTCATATGGACATCCTTTTTGGTGGCAAGAGATGCTGCTGCACAAAGTTTCAGGACTCTGACTGGGTGACATGCACCAGAACTGTTAAAGTTAAACTAATCTGATTTCACAATGGTCCCCTATGGGAATCAATTTAATGGAGATAATCTTATCATTATAGATGCCCATTATGAAAACGAATCAGTTTAAAGTTAAATGTATCTGGTGCATGTCACCCTTTATTACTGCAGTACTCCCACTTCACTTGAGTAGCCTTATTCATGATTTGAAGTACATGTCTTCAGTTCCTTGTCAAACACTCTTCAAATTGACAATCTGCATGGCTTCACTTCTTCATGTGAGCAACCTGATGTTGTCTCTGCCCTAGGAAGTATGAGGTTTATTAAGATGTCACAGCTTGTAGGTGTTTTGCTAATGGATGATATTTGGTTAAATTCTGAAGTAATAAACATAATTTTTAAAGATGGTCATATCTCACTAAGTCAACTAATCTAGAAATATCACATCAGTGAGCCTCATTTGAGTGAAAAAGAGGTGTAGGATAAGAAGTTGTCTTTCTTTGATACTAAAATGTTTGATACACTTCAAAATGAAACCATTCAATCCCTTATTTTGTTCAGTAAGTAAAATTATTGTGGAAATCTCTAAAATACAAAATCTGTTACTGTTTGAAGTGGCAGAGCAATAAAAATTTTCATTCTGCAAATGAGCCAAATGCCAAATAAGTAAAGTTATGTTTTTATAAAGTTTGTATTAGTTAATTCTTCAGAGATGTGATGGTGTTGAAGGTTCTTCTCATATCTTGAATACCATATTTCAGTTGCTTCCAAGTGTGAATGGATTCCAATTTTTCTATCACAACTGTACTTGAACAAACTGGCTTGTTGATATTCTGATTTGTATATGTTTTCTTCAAAAGGGATACTTGAAAGCCCTTGGGGAAGCTCGTACAGCTGAGGTGAAGCGAGATGCTCGCATTGGACAGGCAGAGGCCCGCAAAGGTGCTCAGATCAAGGAAGCTCTTGCTGAAGAGGAACGAATGGCATCCCGGTCAGTAGATGCTTGGAGCATTTCAGGAATTACTCTTCTCCAAGTGAAACTGTTTTTTGCCATAGCATAAAATCACATCCTTAATATCCTATAGGTCCCTGATATTTTCCATCACTGTTTGTATTCTTTTTGATTAATGCATGGAATTGGAATTGAGCAATATGGTCCAAAAATGTTAAGATTGTCAGATCTGAGAAACTTGTCAGGCAAAACAATAAATACAGGGTGTTCCTTTGGCAGATATCCCACTGTTCATGATTGATGCTGTTTGCCTTCCTTTTCCAAGCCATAGGATTTGACTAGGATTTGAAGCTATTGACAGACGAACATAAAAGGAAGAATTTTACATGAAAGGACCATGTTATTTTGCTGTATTGAGTCATGTTCAACAACCATTCAATGCAGCTTGTGAATGGTTTTCTGTTGTAGTGGTGATTTTGGTTGAACCAACTATGAATGAATCAAGAATTTCACATCTCCATCTATGCCATAATATTCCTTCTCTGCTCATGTGTCAAATACAGTCATTTTCCTTAAATCCCATTGAATGGAAAGGAAAGAAAAATAGCATCAATAATCCCACAAAGATCAGTGGGGTATCTATAAAAGGAACACCTTGTACTTTATGCTATGTCATGAAAATATTGCTTCCTAAACAATTTATTTTTAGTGCTGATTCTATTTATTGACAATGGCCCTGATTACACCTCTTCCATCAGATATTTGAATGACATTGAGATTGCAAAGTCTCAGAGGGACTTTGAACTCAAGAAAGCTGCTTATGATAGTGAAGTTCAAACAAAGGTGAGTAAAGTTCAATTCTGGTGTTCAAGGAGGTACCTTGGATAAACATTCTGTTGCCCTTTTTTTAAAAATTATCTTCAGAAAGCAGAAGCAGAGATGGCCTTTGAGCTGCAAGCTGCAAAAACCAGGCAGCGTATCAAAGAAGAGGAAATGCAGGTTAAAGTGGTCGAAAGGACCCAAGCCATTCATGTTCAAGAACAAGAGATACAGCGGCGGATCAAAGAGCTGGAATCTAGTGTGAAACAACCAGCTGAAGCTGAAAGATTCAAGTCAGTAGCTCATTTTTGGATGTTTCTTTCCTGATGTGATATAGGACTTCATTTAAGAATGAACATCTTGTTCATGGCTCTGGGCAGGCTGGAGAAACTGGCTGAGGGGAACAGGAAACGTGTCTTGCTGGAAGCAGAAGCTGAAGCAGAATCAGTACGTCTGAAAGGAGAAGCTGAAGCATTTGCCATTGAAGCTCGGGCCAAAGCAGAGGCTGAGCAGATGGCTAAGAAGGCTGATGCCTGGAGAGAGTACAAAGATGCAGCTTTGATAGATATGATGCTTGACACGCTACCAAAGGTAGGTGCAGTCTTGTGGGCCCCCTTTAAAACCTTAAGCCCCTTTCTGATAACTCAACAAATCACTTGTTATTCATATCATAGGCACTGCCTTCTAAAAAATATTGGGGGGGGGGGGGCAAGTTCCAAATGCCCCTGAAATAACATTGATGGAATTATTCCAGGATCAATTGGGGTAGCTCAGTATTATTATGGTAGCATTTTGACAAGTGGGGGGGGGAAGGGGGAGGGGTGCTACGCATGGCCCTTCCACCCCATACCCTTATGGGTTGACACAAGAATCTTCCCCAGTTGAAGCTCTAGTCAGAAAGGAAAATCATATTTTTCATTTCTTTTGTGAAGCAGCATTTTGTTTTCAATTTTCCATGTGCATTTTCCTTTTGTTGAAATTTTGCCCCTCTGGGTTCGGCACCTATGATTCATATCCCATCTATGTTCACCTAGCATCTACACCTTCCCCTTTCATTCACTCTTTACGATGACTCATTTGTCCTTGTTTGTTTATAGACAATGACATGTCTCATAAATATGATGCTGATGTGTCATGTAAAACTATGCTTAAACAGCATTACTCTCTTGTATTTCCAGATGCAATTTCTCTGGATGGTCAATAGAAGGACATGTTCATTTGCAAACAGAATGAGAAGAGTCTTCAACCAGACCATATGTTTTAATATTTTAATTAAAGGCATGCATATGGGTAAAATTACCCTGCATAAGTTATGGTTTCAGCTTGTTTTGTTGAATTAGTAAAGCACCTAAAGACTTTCTGCTGCATTTTAGGACTGACTGGTGATCACACCAACTTGTTTTTGTCATTACAGTAGGACTGAAATTCCTCAGAAGTAACAGTAATGTGCAGTAACAGATCCTAATCGCATATTGGCTGCTTCAATAGGGTCAATTTCATCTTCAAGTTCATGCAGATATTTGGAGTTTTTTAATGTTGGGGATGATCTTGTAAATGAATCAGTCAGTTGACTGTATGGCATTTGTATGGTATTTGATTCAGATTGCAGCAGAGATAGCAGCACCTTTGGCACAGACAAAGAAGGTCACCATGGTATCATCTGGGAAGGGAGATGTTGGAGCAGCCAAACTAACTGGTGAAGTTTTGGAAATCATGTCCAAGATGCCAGGTGTCATCAAGCAGATGACTGGAGTTGACATGAGCAAGGTGAGTTTCTGCTATTTATGCTCCCTCTTTGCTCTAGAATTTCCAATTGGGGCCCCAATATGCTCAAACCTTGAAATCTGCAGGGCAAGAGGGGTGGGGGAAATGAGGCCCCTATTTTCTGGGCTTTGTGAAATTCATCCCCATTTTGTTAGTACCAAATTAAAAAGCTTTTATTTTATAATTTTGAGTTCACAGAATTTCACATTTTATATTCATGAACTAGAAATGATAGGACCAAAGACATATAGAGGTAGGGGAATAGCAAACATATAAAGGGGTGGTTTTGATGGTATTTGGGATTTTCACCCTGTGGAATTTGCCATAATGCTTGCTTGCCATAATGATTGTTGTACCACTGGACCCTGGTCCAGTGGTACAAGCAATCATTATGGCATGCATAGGTGAACATACCAAATAGGTTTCCAAGCAATGTTCTTATTCTGAAAAATTATTGGAAGGGGGGGTTGAATTGCCCCACTCACCCTGGCCCACTTTCTCACAACATTATCAATGCTATTTGATGCTAAACTTGACTCAAACATCTATCTCTCCTGCACAGGAGATGCATTTAAAAAATAGGTAGGATTGTTGAAAAGAAATGTGAAAGTCATTTCAGAAATGTCTGCTGTAAAGCAAGATAGGGCATTTAATGAATGCCATAACTCCTGGATGAACATTAACCTTTTCACAAAAAGTTTTATTTTGGTAATTGCTTCTTGTAATTTAAAAAAAATTCTAAAGTGATACCAAAAAGTCCATTTTATTTTATATTATCATTGTACTACTATATATTATTGTACATATGTATATATAATTACATAACTACAGTAATTTATGAAGTAAATCAGTTATTTTTTGTAAATTTGTTTTCCTTTTGATAAGAATTACAAAAAAGAAGCATCTTAATTGTTCATGCATACACATTTACACCTGCTGCACACACCCATGGAAATATTGAAATAACGCTTAAAATATAGTAAAATTATGTTAAAAGTTGATGTAATCTGTTATTGAAATGTTCATTGAAATGAAATCTACTATAAAATGACAATTTTTACATGAATTTTCAGTAAAAAAAAAAAATAGACAGTAGGGGGGGGGTTAACATGTACTCAACTTGCATGATTCCTGCTAACAATGGGTACGACATCAAATATTCTTCCAGGGAGAAAAGGACCTTGAGTTCTTTGCATGAGGATTGCATTTGTCACTTCTGGGAATACTTTGATGTTGGGGTACACTTTTGGCAGGTGTTCATTTTTTAAACATCTTCTTGCTGCACCATTGCATAATGAGAGGATCTAAAAAGCACTCTTGATTTATGATTGATTGATTTTAAAAGGTAGAAAATGAATAAATGAAAAAATTGTGAATATGAAGAAAGTTCAGGAATATGAGTGGCCATCCTCTTCTCACTTGCTCTCCAGACCATACGGGCTGCCTAGATGGGAGGGAAGCAGACAACAAGTCACCTCATCTGCCTCACCCACATCTTCTGTCCAAATTCCACCTTGCTCTCATTCAATTATGTTACAGTGCATGTGTGTACCTAGTCAGTTTCACTCAGCTTCCAATTTTTTTTTTAGAAAAATGTTTGATTACTTTTATTTCCCTGCAAGTGACTTTGATATTACCTATGCACATGAAATCTCTGTCTTCGCGAGACACTGCTGCACCCCCGTGTAAAAGAAGGCCTTTCCCCAGACTACCTGTACCATTCCTTGCATTCTTGTGTGACTTTTCTAGTAAGCTTCTCAATTTTGTCATTCCTTGCCATTTGCCAAGTTCTCTCTGATACTTCTTTCTTTCATCTGCTTCATTTGTTATCACATTTTGGTGTTACTTCAGTATGTCATAATCCGGCTCAGGACAGATATATTAAAAATTTTTTGTCTTTGTGATGTACACATGTCAGGTTCTTTCTGGTGGACTATGCTATGCTGGAGGACATGAACCTCAGTGATAAACTGTCATAGTCAGACCAAAGTAATTTTACACAAAGTGTCATGAAATGGTGTACAAGTTGCTTGTGAATTGATGTGTTTCATTCTTTTTAGCATGAAGGAAGCATGCTCAATGTCTGAGGGTGTGTTGAACACATGTTCTCTTTTGCTGTATTCTGAAGATGGTGAATGTCTAGAGTAGACAGGTTCTTGTCTCGCAGCAGTGTAGAGTAGCAATAGTGTGTAGATAAATGATCCGGTGTTGTATTGTCTTCTTTGTGTGCCCTCTACTTGGATGTCATCAGATGGGTTCTCATCAATTACCTTCTCTTTGCTTCAACCTCAAGATGTGGATAAGAAATCTCACATAACATGAGATTGACTACTATGAGTGTTTGTTCTCTCTTTTGTGCAGGCATGGTCTCAGACTTAACAATGAGACACCACCATCATCACCACTACTACCATCATCACTCTCACCACTGCATTGTGATTTTCCTCGCCTCTCATATCCTTAAGTTTGAATTTTCAACTCTGCTTGCAGCCTATTATCCTATCCATATTGCCATTTTGGATGTATTTGCAGACTGCTTTGCCTTCTGGAATAAATCCCATCACATTTCTGTGCATTTTGTATTGCTTTATTTGCTTTTTATCCATGAGCCATGCAAGAATAAGAAGCCCTTCTGGATTCATTTGCTGTACCACAGCTAGTAAATGCCATCTCACAAGAAGCAGAGATGTTTTTGTTCCAAAGGCAAGTGACTACAGCAATTGAATGCATCAACCTGTAGGGTCATTTCATAGCATGAAACAATAAATTCACACGCACACGATCCCAGACATACACATAGGCATCAAGGAGAGCTACCAGATGTGAGAGTTTCATACGCCTCTGGTAGTCATGATATTTAGGGGTTTTAATTGTATAAACCAGTGGTGTCAAACATATGGCCCTTGGGCCCCGATCAGGCCTGTGAAGGTGGTTCATCCGGCCCACTGCCTGCTATTGAAATTTTCGATGGGATTGACTGTCAGCATTGATTTCAGTGAAAAAATAAGGGTGTGGCCTGCAGGCATCTGTAGGGTAAGGAATGCAGCCTGCCTACTAATTTTAGTTTGACACCCTGCTTTAAGCAATACTATCTTAGTACAATTCTGGTTAGAATAAAATTTTAAATAGAAGAAATTGGTGGTGAATAAACTTATGAGGGGAATGCATTCATGGTACCAGTCATTTCAGAGAGTTAGCATGAAAAACCAAACCCGTACGTTTTTTAATGTATGGTCAAACCTAAGCTTTCCACTCCTATGAGCACTGCGAAGTTCAAGTTGACATTGGCAAAGACTATGCAAAAGTGTTTGTTTGAAAATCTCAACTTTCATTTTCAACAAGTGATTTATTACCGATGGAACGGTATGCTAAATGTAAGGGCACTTACCTGTGTAAGAAGCACTCCGAACAAAATTTCAAAATGAGCATTGAGGTGTGGAGCCTCCTTCGAACCCATCTATTTGTCCAGACTAACATACCATTTGTGATAATAACCCTTTTTGTGCTACAGGATCTATATACGAGGGGCGTTCCATAAGTTCTTGCCAAATGACATTAAATACTGCCTGATCCGCATGATATTTTCTGGTATTGTTCTTCTGGGATTATGAAAGATTTAGTGATTTTTAAGATGTATTTTCCCAAATGGTGAAACGTAGCACGAGGCCAAAGAAGTCACTTTCAGGGCAGATGACTTTGACATGTAGAGATCTGCAAGAGCTGATATGATATGGTTTCCAAAGACGCTTAACTTCGAAACAATGTTTTGCAGAATTAAATCATAACTGGCCGATCTTGCCTCATCAATGTACTTTATGAATGACTGGTTTCAAAAGTTCAGGTGGGGGCATTTTAGCCTGAAGGACGAGCCTCGTGAAGGTCGTTCAGTTTCAGAAGTGACGAACCTAATGTGGCTGAAGTGAAAGCCATGATTAAAGAAGACCAAAATGTGACATACTGTGTATGCTGTCATAGAGGAGACCCTTGGGATTGGATAATCTGCCTTAAAAAAAAATTATGCATGAAATTATTGGATGGAGAAATGTTGTTCTTGTTGGGTCCCACATTCCCCACCTGAGGAAAAAAATGGCTCGAATCAATTTCTGTTTATAAAAAAAAAATGCTGCACAAATTTAACCAAGAAACTTCAAATCGGTATGGTGGTGGCAAGATCACCCAGAGACGATTTCATATATTCATAAATCTGTTTCACAGGTAGCCGCCTTTGGAAACCATACCAAATCAGCATTCGCAGATCTCCATGGGTCAATTTCATCTGTCCTGGAGGGTGACCTCTTTTGGTCTCTTGCTACGCGTCGCAATATTGGCGAAACATAAAAAAAATCACTGAATCTTATTAAAATCCTGAAAAACAATGCCAAAAAATTGCATTAGGATTAGGCAATATTTAATGCCATTCGGGAAGAACTTTTGGAGTGCCCCTCGTGCTGTCGGTCAAGCCTATGAATCGGCCACGTGGCAATAAAAGGGATATTAATCATCTTTATTGGGACAGAAAGTGCTTATGCAACAAACAGTTTATCCCAAGTAACGCAAGATATTCCAGCAACGTTTAGGAAATGTTGATGAACAATGTTGCATCTATGTGTAAATGTCCAAAACGTCAACGTTGCTCAAATGTTGCGAAGGAACATTGCATTTACGTTGCAAATCGCTACTTATTCATTACATATACGTTGCAGATACGTTTCAGGATTTATGTTGCTGCAATGTTGATTAAAAACGTTGCTTCACGGGCACCTAATCTGAGCCTATATTGGCGTTACGGAAAAGCGTAGGCTTCGCTGGTCCTGAACTGGACCGATATTCGACCAACATTGAATTATTTATTTCATCCTTTCGTACCATATACTTTACCACTCTATTCAGACATTCTCATCAACTGGACGAAGCCTGTACTGGTTTTACTATCTAACCATGCATAATACAGTGTCTGTATCATGTACAGGCAGGAGACAGTACATTTTTGGAGGTGATCTTCCCCTGGATGTGCTAAGTTGCACAATACAGGAAAAGGTCCAACCACAATGTTCTATGGAGTGTCCACGAGATCAATCCTTCGTTTCCTCAGCTGGTACCCTGAATGGGGATATGAAGGATTGAGATCACAGACTCTCTACCTGTAGGATGAAAGGGTTCTTTTATGGGAATATGAGCTTTTTTTTATCTTGACCCCATTAATCTGTCAGGAAAATGAGGATAACAGGTGATGAAGTGTCCGTGTTCATTGATTCCTATAATGAGACAATGTG